TAGATGTGAATAATCACTAAAGGAGGAAGTAATATCCACGGCTTCCTTTAAATCAGTAACATAGTGACTAAGTATTCTGCAATTCACAGTTGAAATACAGGAATGCAGTTATTTGTTCTAAAACTCATGTCTAAGCCCTGGCGACCCTATGAAGTCTTTACCACTACCCAGGCCCTGGAATTCATTCCCTTTTTTCAATTCCAGGTGCTTATCTTTTGCTCTGTATCTGTGCTGTCCAATAAGGTAGCCATAGCCACATGGTGCTGTATTTAAATGAATTAAAATTAAATAAATTTTAAATTCAGTTCCTCAGTTGCATTAGCCACATGACAAGTGTTCAAAAGCCAAGTGGGGCCAGTGGCTACCATATTAGCAAGTACATAATATACAGCATTTGCATCAATGCAGAGAGTTATACAGGACAGTGCTGCTCTAAACTAGGGTTGGCAAACTCTTTCCATGAAGCCCACATGGTAAATACTTTAAGCTTCAGGGGCCACATACACTTGCACAACCCTCTGTTTTACTAAACAGTGCCATACAAACCTAACCACAGATCTCTGCTCGTGAGCCACGCAAAAACAGGCCGTCGCCTACCAACCGTTGCTCTTTGCCATTCATTTGGCAAGCCCAGATTTCAGTCTTTTCCTGTTCAACTTTTTGTGTGATGCATTCTAATTTTATTTATCTGCAGAGTACCCGGCATTGTCTAAATACCTAAGTATTTGTTGAGTGATTATCAGCAACTGTTGAATGTTATTTAGGTGATGTGACAGCACAGATTATGGTTTCATTATTCTAAAATGGCCACAAAATCATTAGAGGTTGCTGTTAGTACAACTCCTGTGCGTTGCCTGCCAACTCGACTTGGGGCCCCTTCTTCCTATCTCAGGGGCATGCTTAAGCTCTCTTATTCCAGCAATGATCATTAAACCCACTAAACTAAGTCAGGTTACGTACTATGTGCTAGAAAGAAGAAACATTTGGTACAGTACCCAACTAGGTAGTAGGTTCTGCTATAAAGCTATGTTGTACTGAAGGGTACCTCTCAACATTGCAAGTGATCATTGGCAGAAAACGTGCATGTTTTAGAGCTTTTGATCTGAAATAACGATGTGATTTTTTGTAATGCTAGGCTTTTGGATATTATTTCAACCATGAAAAAGAGATCCATTGTCTGGCAAGAGGTTTTTGATGATAAAGTGAAGGTGAGAATCATGAAGATTGCATCTGACTCTGATAATATAAGACTTAATGCTGCCTTCTCACCTTTCCCTTTTCTCCTCCTCCTCCACTATCTTATTGTTAATCACAGACAGAAGTACTTCAAAATAACTTTTCTAGACAGTAAGAACAAATGAGTCTTTATTGCTATTAAGATAGTTTTGTAGTAAGTAAAACTGTCTATGTAAATTGTTTTTTTTTTTTTTTTTTTTTTGAGACAGAGCCTCAAGCTGTCCCCCTGGGTAGAGTGCCATGGCATTACAGCTCACAGCAACCTCCAACTCCTGGGCTCAAGCGAGTCTTCTGCCTCCGCCTCCCAAGTAGCTGGGACCACAGGCGCCCGCCACAACGCCCGGCTATTTTTTGGTTGCAGCCGTCATTGTTGTTTGGCGGGTCCGGGCTGGGGACCCAAACCCACCACCCTAGGTGTACGTGGCTGGCGCCTTAGCCGGCTGAGCTATAGGCGCCGAGCCTATGTAAATTGTTTACATGGTATTTTTTCCTGTGATATAGTCAGAATTCTGAATTTTCCTTGGAGCAATTGGGAATTTATAAGCCAGTAAGTAGTATTACCTTTCCAGAGGTATTAGTGACATCCTCAGAGTTCCAAAGTAAGTAAAACTTAGTATGGTAGAAATGACCCTGAGATGTAGATCCTGCCCTAGTTCGTTTTGCACCTACGTGGTGTCACATTCAAGCCAAATTTAAATATCGAATCGTAAGGTGGATGAAACTTCTAATTTGAAGATCCTACAATGAATAAAGTATGGCATTAAATCAGCAGGAAACAGGAAAATGTACATATGTTTTTTCAGGAATCTTTTCCTAAATATAATGCCTTAAATTTTTGATTTCATCTACTGTATTTGCCAGACTTAGTAACAGGTATTACAATTTTGTAACCTTTATAGCTTCAGCAAGGCACAATAGTTGAAGTGTGGAAAAACTCCGGATATTTTCAGGAAATGACTGAAATCACAGAAGCTGGCTTTCCTGTAATCCTTTCTGCCCCTTGGTACTTAGATTTGATAAGTTATGGACAAGACTGGAAACAATACTATACTGTGGAACCTCTTAATTTTGTGGGTAAGTGAGCAACCATCATGACCCTAGTTATTTTCCCTAACTTCTGATCCAGGAACTCCTTACCTACCTACATATAGCCTACTAACTACCCTCCCTTTAATGTTTGAACCTTGGTATTGTGTATGTAAACAAAGAAAAAAAACTCAGTATCGTTTTAAACTCTGTGAAAGAAACTATATACTTGCCTAAACACAAGAACTTCTTTAAAAGTAAATGACCTTAGATTTTATCTCTATTTTCACTGATGAGTCTTGTCACTGTCTAAAAGCTGTTTGACTGCTTAACCTTAAACATCCTCTTTTAACTTTCTCCAGTGTAAGACACATAAGCAAAGCTACAGTCTAAAATTTAAACCACAAGTCCTAGAGCAGTTAAGTGGATTCCAGGCTGTGTAGTCATAGGGTTCTGAGGAGCAGGCATCCTTGGAAGAAGGGGTGACAGGAGAGAAAGTCTCAGTCGTAGAGCTTCAGGCTTTCAGACCCCTTTCTTAGAGAACTGTTCTAGGCTGGGCACAGCAGCTTACACCTCTAATCCGAGCACTCTGAGAGGGTAAGGTGGGAGGATCGCTTGAGGCCAGGAGTTTGAGACCAGCCTGGGGAACATGGAGACTATCTCCATAAGAAAAAAAAAGCTCTACTTTGTTCAGTCTTTGTCTATCAACCCTTAGTACAAAGTTTTCTTTGAAAAAGCATTTTTTATTTCAGAATATTATGGGGATTGCTCTTTAATCATCTTAATTTACATGATTTCAAAACTTTAAGAATTTCAAACTATAGGTCTAATAAAAACTGATAGAATTTTCCCTGGCACACGTTTTATGAACAAAAAGTCATAATTAATGTAAAAATAAAAAAAGTAGTAGGTCCTCAGGGCTTTTTGTTTTGTTTGTAATTACTAAGAGGTAGAAACTAAAGGCAGGCATGTGATGGTCATGGGCCATTTAAAAAAAAAAAAACAAAAACCTAGCAGTCTTTGTATTCTCTGGCATCCCAGGGAAAAAGTAGTTTCTGGTATCCAAGATAAAACAGTATTTTTAATCTATGATGCTAAGCATAGGTTGGGGTAAAAATAAAGTTTACCCCCCCTTTTTAAGTTTTTTTTTTTTAATTCACTCATAGCTCTGTACATTAATGCAATCATGGGGTACAGTGTGGTGTTTTCATATACAATTTGAAATATTTTCATCAAACTAATTAACATAACCTTCATGTCATTTTCTTAGTTATTGTATTAAGACATTTATATTCTACTTTCAGAAGGATTAACTTATACCCTTGTTATACCCCCCCTTTTTTTTGCCACAACCATGACCACCTCCCAAGGTCCTGTGGACCACAGGAAAGAAATGTCACCCCAGGGCTAGCATAAAGATAGGAGGAAGAATTAGCATCGCCTCTGTATAAGCCTGGAACTGCAACTGCTTAACTTGTATCACTTCAATGATTTTACTGTAGGTACACAGACACAGAAAAAACTTGTCCTTGGTGGAGAAGCTTGTCTATGGGGAGAATATGTGGATGCAACTAACCTTACTCCAAGATTATGGTATGAAATTTAAATGGTAACATTTAAGTTAAAAACTAAGGTGTCTTAGCTTTCCTTCTCCATCCAGGTAGGAAGCATTAGGGATTTCCAAGCATATGATTTAGATACTTACTTAAGAAAACATGAATCTTAACTGCTTTCGGGGCTATCTGGTTTTAAATTTTAGGCCTCGAGCAAGTGCCATTGGTGAGAGACTTTGGAGTCCCCAGAATGTCAAAGATGTAAATGACGCCTACAACAGACTAGCAAGGCACCGCTGCAGAATGCTCAGGTGAGACACTTCTCAGGCCAAGACGCTGTACGTAAGTCCTCTGTGAGTTTTAACCACTTTATTCAGTGGTTAGTTTCCCTTTTTTTTTTTTTTTAATTAAGAAATGTTGTTGCATAATTAGTAATTAGGAGAAACTTGTTATTATTTTTTATAGGTAAGAGAGTAATACCTACAAAAAGATCTATTTAGACTTAAGCCTTTTATAGATAAAGAACCTAGGTAAGCTGACCGCCCGAGGGACCATAACAAACATGCAGAGATGGTTAACATAAGAAACAAGGTCTGCAGTACTGATATGCACATAAGGTGCACGTCTGGTCTGTGAAAATTATGTCAATGTAAGAAGGTGGTCAGCTGCGGAGGGTCTACTGTATATAGAACTGTGTAATTTAGAACTCTTAATCTTAAATCCCTCTAGCAATCCTGAGTGATTTTGCCTTTTCAGTAATTTAAGCTGCTGTTCTTTAAGTCGGCAGATGAGTCCTAGCATCTAATACATCTTTATTCACATCTGTCTACAGACGTGGAATAGCTGCACAGCCTCTTTACACTGGATATTGCAACTACGAGGAGAACATGTGAAATGAGCTGAAACCAACATAGGAAGGGGAAAGGCCCAGCGCTCTGTGTTACAATCAACTTGATTTTGAAATCATGTAAATTAAGATGTTACTTTTTGAATACAATCTTTATTGATTAAACCTCTTATTTTATATTACATACAGAAATCTAGCATCTTTCTTGTGAGAGCAGCTTATAATCGATACATTCCAAATGGCTGAGTCTTAGTAATAACTTCACCCAGATGAACAACATGATTCAGGTACTTTATATGTTAGAACACGTTTCTCATTATAAATGGGTAAATCCAGTGCCAGTTCTCAAGCTGTATCTTTTATTAAGTTCTTTGAATGTACAGAAACAGTAAATTGTCCAATAGTTAAAGCAATGGGGATTATTCTTACTAAAAACAAAGTAGTTCTCACCAAGGACCTAAACCGTCTAGGTCAAGCCAGTCCTCCGGTTCAGTAGTGTGCTCTGGTCTTGGGGATTCATTGCTTGATAAGAAGATAGTTCTAAGGCAAAAGTAGCTGAGCCTGACGTTAGTGTTCGAAGCACTGTTGAATAACCCTAGTAAAAATAATGTAAGTCATTTATCCCATCAAGTTTAAGCCTCACGTCTCTCTTCCTGCTAGTTATCTTTTGACTATTACCAGGGAAAGATGATGATATCACTCCTGGCTTAGCCATACCACTTCCACCAAACAAATCAATTTTTTTTTTTTTTTGGAGACAGTCTATGTCACCCTTGGTAGAGTGCCATGGCGTCACAGCTCACAGCAACCTCAAAGTCTTGGGCTTAAGTGATTCTCTTGCCTCACCCTTGGGACTACAGATGCCTGCCACAATGCCCAGCTATTTTTTTTGTTACAGTTGTCATTGTTTAGCTGGCCTGGGCTGGGTTCAAACCCGGCTCCCTCGGTGTATGTGGCTGGTGCCGTAACCACTGTGCTACAGGTGCCGAGCGCACTTAATCATTTTTTCAGGAGAAAGTAGTTAAAAATATACATATATATTGTAGAAGACAGAAAACAGTAATGCAGGCGTGCCACAGATGTATTCTGTGGTCCTGGCATTTGCTAAGATGACTGCCCTCCATACTAATCTGGTACCCAGGGGCCTGCCCATCCTAGAGCAGAGGAGGATGCTGGGGGAGACTAGAATGGCAGAAGACAAATGCTTGGAAGGAAAAAATGGTCATTTACTTTGGTGCCACATTTTGGTAAGGCACACCTCAGCCTTTGGGGTCCTAGGATTGGAAATAACCTCCTGAAATGCTGTAATTCCTGGATGTCTTCGATAATTTAAATCCAAAGTCCTCACTGTTCCTGACGGTTGAAACTTAACATGTCTTTCCTAAATAAAAACCCGACGCTTCTTTCATGTTATTGTCTATCTTCACTCAGAATATATACACCCTGAATTTGAAAAGTTCGTTTCAGTCACAAAATACTTACCATCATTTCTGCTAAGGGAACAAATCCAATAACAACTCTGTTGTCCTGGCGAGTCTGGATTTCCTTAATATTTCCTCTTCTTTGTGCAAGGTCTGCCAGGACAGGGCTGAGATAATCTCTAGTTACCGTAACCTCGATTTTCATCAGAGGCTCTAAAACTTGCTTATCGGCTTTCTTCAGAGCCTAAAGAAATGAAAGAATGTCAACCCTTCTTTCATAAATAAGAACATAAATACTGCGGGTACTCTTAAGCCTAGGGCTCTAGCAAAAAGACATAAGCTTGCTTTAACTGTATGAAGATAATGTTTTATAAGAAGTCAGTAATTTTGGCTCAGCGCCTGTGGCTCAAGCGGCTAAGGCGCCAGCCACATACACCTAAGGTGGCGGGTTCGAATCCCCAGCCTGGGCCTGCCAAACAACAATGATGGCTGCAACCAAAAAATGGCCAGGCATTGTGGCAGGCGCCTGTAGTCCCAGCTACTTGGGAGGCGGAGGCAGGAGACTCGCTTGAGCCCAGGAGTTGGAGGTTGCTGTGAGCTGTAATGCCACGGCACTCTGCCCAGGGGGACAGCTTGAGGCTCCATCTCAAAAAAAAAAAAAAAAAAAGAAGTCAATAATTTCATTATTTGCTTAGACATGGGTGACAAATGTGTCCCGATCTCTTGTATGCTTCAAGGGGGCGCAAGCTTTATCGTGCACAGCACCTGTGAATGTGTGGCCAGAGTCAAAGAAAACTGTCCCCCCCTTTCAAAGATTCACTTCTTCTGGGCAGCACCTATGGCTCAAAGGAGTAGGGCGCCAGCCCCATATACTGGAGGTGGTAGGTTCAAACACAACCCCGGCCAAAAGAAAAATAAAGATTCACTTCTTCATATTTAAACCTCATGTTTCTGTTCCTGATGTCTATAGTTATAGTCCATGCCACAGCCAAAGAGAACAATAAAGAAGGGAAATAAAGGAAAGGCCTTTAATAAAAACTTAATGTAATAAGGTAGTTGAAATGCATTACTTTGTATGACTGTTTTAATCTTAAGATTTCAAAGGCCAACAACATGCACATAAAGAAAATGAAAACTGAAAATGTCGTTTGGAATAAAATAATGGAGTGGGGAAAGGTAAAATTAATAAGAGGAAAGCTGCTACAACTAAGAAAAAAATTACATTCTGTGAAACTAAATAGGACAAATTGTGCTCATGTCCTCTTCTCACAATCTTATCCTTGGTAATAATACCTAGTTGCAGAATTCACACCTCTGTGGCTTCCTCAAAAACTTCCCATTCTGTGCACCCCGAGTCCCCGAGGGCTCCAGACTTGCACTCCTGGTCTGCTGTGGCTGCTGTTAAGAGTGCCCAACAGCGCTCCCGTCTGCCCCGACTGAGCTTCTCCTTGCCTTTCCCAGCACTCTGCTCTTCCCCGCCCTGCTGGGGGCCTCGCCAGACTTAGTGCACATGGACATGCATCTCGGACTTCCCTTCCCCAAGCGAGCTGGGGAGTTCCCTTCCTATTGCTGGTGCCCAACTTCAGACCCAGTCCATTTCCTGTCCTAGACTATCTGTTCCTCACACTAATCTCACCTGTACTCCCTCTTTAAAAACTTTTATTCTCAGGCAGTGCCTGTGGCTCACTGAATAGGGTGCCGGCTCCATATACAGAGGGTGCCACGTGGGGGTGGGTTCAAACCTGGCCCCAGCCAAACTGCAACAACAACAACAAAAACAGCTGGGTGCTGTGGCAGGCGCCTGTAGTCTCAGCTACTCAGGAGGCTGAGGCAAGAGAATCGCCTAAGCCCAGGAGTTGGAGGTTGCTGTGAGCTGTGATGCCAGGGCACTCTACCGAGGGCAACAGTGTGAGAGTCTATCTCTATAAAAAACAAACAAAAAAACACTTTTATTCTCCACTATTCTCAGAACAAGTCCAAACTGTTTAATGTAGTTTTTAAAGGTCTCTACAGTCTGACCCCGTTTATTATTCCAACGCTATTTTCCACTGGTCTGCCTCCACCTGAAACTACAGCTTACGGGACTTCTATCTCTCTGACTGCAATGTCCCCCACCATGCCCAAATCCTCCAAAATCAAGTTCAAATATTAATTTCTCTCTAAGAATCCTCCCCAATTTCCCACTTCTCAGCTTTTATGGTACACATAGCCTGTTTTATCTAACATCTTAACTATTTGGCTACAGTTTAGTCCCTCAGTAAATTACATGTTCCTTCATGCAAAAAGAAATATAACCATCCTTTTTATGCCCTCAGTGTCCAGTGAAATGTAATCACAACATGGAAGACTCAGTATATGAAGCACCATTAACTTCTCAAAAGCAGAGAGAAGGAGCTTCACCACTAGATGAAGCTTAACAAGGACAGGAGTAAGTACTTCCATCGGGAGCATTTTAAAGTAATGGATTATAACTAAAGACTAAATGTAAGCTCCCATAAAGCTAATTCTAGTTCTCTAGTATAGTCTTGCTTAGAAAAAGGTTAATCAACTCAGAAATACTTGATCTTATTTTTAGAAGGCATATTTCATTTTGAAAGACAGGCCAATATGTTGGGGCATGGGGTTAATTTGGAAACATTAGATCATTTTTTGGATTACCATTATTTGAAAATTAAAATCAATTTCAGGAGAAACTTTAAAAATTACCTGAATTTACATGGATAAAGCTGGAGTATAGTCTTAGTAAAGTATTTCAAGAATGGAAGAAAAAGTATCCAATGTCCTCAGTACTTTTATGAAACCAATTTATAATCATTCATGCTTTCATATGAAAGATAAATCACAACTATAGCCCAGGATGTAGGAGGGAAGAAGAGGAGCATGGGAGGGGAGGGGGAGGTTTAAACGGTGAGACCACACCTATGGAGTGTATTGCAAGGGTACATGTCAAATCTACTAAGTATAGAATATAAATATCTTAACACAATAATTAAATGAGGTGAAATCCTATATTAACTAATTTGATCTAAGCATTCTAAATTATATATAAAATCAGCACATTGTACCCCATAAATGCATTAATGTATACATGATCTATGTGTATATGACTTAATAAAAAAAAATAGGAAAAAAACCCCAAAAGAAAAAAAAAAAAAATATATATATATATATAAATTACTTGAAGGTGAACGTCTCAACAACATAATCATAACTACTTTGGAGGTGATATTTCTAACTATACTCTTCAGTGAACAATACTTAAATAATTTTACTTTCAAAACAGGTTTATTTTAAAATCAAAACTTGGCTCGGCGCCCATAGCTCAACTGGCCAAGGCGCCAGCCACGTACACCTAAGGTGGCGGGTTCGAATCCCCAGCCTGGACCCGCCAAACAACAATGACGGCTGCAACCAAAAAATAGCCGGGCGTTGTGGCGGGCGCCTGTGGTCCCAGCTACTTGGGAGGCGGAGGCAGGAGACTCGCTTGAGCCCAGGAGTTGGAGGTTGCTGTAAGCTGTAATGCCACGGCACTCTACCCAGGGGGACAGCTTGAGGCTCTGTCTCAAAAAAAAAAAAAAAAAAAAATCAAAAGCTTTTTAAGAAATATGAATTTAAACTCAAGAGTTATAAAATTGGGCCTTAAGTCAGGGGCTTACAGTATTTAAATTAACTTTATAATTATGAATTCAAATAAAAGTATAGAAAATTAAGTCTCAAACATCGTCCAAGTATTAGAAAATGGTTATAAAGGCAGCTGTTACAATGTAAAATCACTCACCTATAAAACTAGGGTAATTCAATACTGAGAAGAATGCATGGAATCAGCATTCAGCACACTATACTCCTGGAGTTAATCCAGCTCTGCTAGGTTACTGAGTCAGGAAGAGAGAGCCCAGGACACTCAAGGACATCCCCCCAGATAACCACACCAAGACCACAGTACTTCATGCTTTGAGAAGGCAAGATGCTTACCCTGAATTTGTTACTCATTAGGACTTATCTGGTTTCAATAGTCCTTGAGTAAGGCAATCTTATTTGAATAAACATGAAATCCAAAATTGGAACCAAAATTAGATTTTCAACAATTACAGTCCATCTTGAGCCATGTTAAGCGCAGATCTGTCCTCTACTCAAACCTACCCAGCTTGCCTCTAATGGCTATGTGTCTGGGATTGGGAAACAGAAATGACAATAAACTTTCCCCTTTGCTTAAATACAAGGATATTTTATTAGTAATCAGTATTAACAGTAATTTCTAAGATCCTTTTTCAAATGAAAACCTGGTGATTAAGAAATCAAAGACTGTCTATGGTAAGAACTTTTATTGACCACTAGGCTCAGGAGGCAAAGACAAAAGGCAAAGCTCTGTAGACAAGCTCCCTGCAAGATCTGTGGTAGTATACTCAATAGAGTCACCATAAAGCAAGAAGGATTAGGATAATTCTATACCTTTTGTATACATCTTGAGACACAGGCAGAAACCATAGTTGTGGAGGTACCAGGATGAATCATCAGGGAATGTAAAGAAATTGCCACATCTTGTACTGGGGATCCAAGCAATGGTCCTACACGGGGGAAAAATTGTATCACACTATGACTTACTATGTAGTGAGTAGTAACTGACAAGTACATGGAAATGGAAAGAAAACACTTTCATATCTTTTTATGAAAAAGACTGAAACAAAATGTAATATAAGGAGTGATTAAATAATTGAGTGCATTGCGAACCTTACTCTTAGAGTACCTTACCCTGGAGGCATGCACTGTGAATTCCGTTTTCAATGGCCTCTTGGGAGACCTTCAAAAGGTCATCAGTAACACTCTCAGCATACTCAATCACTGGCGTAGCAGATGATGTTTCAGCTGGCCTTGCTTCTACCTCAACGGTCACAAGATGCCGTTTGTCTCCTAAAGTTCTATCTAAGGTATCTGTAAACAAACAAATCGAATATGATAGATACCTCAGAGATTTGTTCTGGAAAGGTAATTGGTAAAATTATCATCAACAAACTCAAGGTCTGATAGAAGATAAAGTGGGAGACAATATTAATGCCACTAAATACAGCACAAAAAATCAGAGTGAAGAGCTCTACCAACAAGTCAGCTGCTTCCACATTTAGCAAGGTAAAAACCTGCTCTGTATCACCTATCTCCTAATGTTAGCATGGTCAAGGCACATGACATGAAGATGGTAAGAGTCTGGCATTTATTAAGTTGGAGAACCTGCCACCATACACTTATGTTGGCACAGTAAGCTTACAGTGGTGTATCAGTGTCTCACAGTCCTGTTCGTGTAGATGTGTGGCAACATCCTGCTGAGTGGCATTCATTATTGTTGTGTGTTTTTGCATTTTTCTTTTTTTGAGTCAGAGTCTCACTCTGTCACCCTGGGTAGAGTGCCGTGGCATCAACATAGCTCACAGCAACTTCAAACTCTTGGGCTCAAGCAATCCTCCTGCCTCAGCCTCCCAAGTAACTGAGACTACAGGTGTCTAGGACCACGCTAGCTAACTTTCTATTTTTACTAGAGACAGGAAGCTCAGGCTTGTCTGGAACTCCTGAGCTTAGGCAATCCACCGACCTCAGCCTCCCGGAGTGCTAGGATTATAGGCGTGAGCCACCACACCCCACCCTACTGCTTCCTTTTTGACCTCTGGCAATTTCTATAACATCCCAATCAGCTCAAAGTTTAAAAAACTTAATTTATATATTTTCTAGCATTTTTAGTTTTTCTAGATATACAGTACAGGAACAGAACTCTGCATGTCATTTGCTCCTATATTCTGCTTACTTTTTTCAAGGTTTTTCAAGTTTTAGTGAAACATAACCATTTGGACTTTTCTACAAACTAGTAAGAGGCTTAAAAGTATCTGGTTATTCTAAACATCAATTTTGTAATATTTAAAATATTTAATATAAATATTTATAATATTTATAATTTTTATAAACTTGTCTAGATTTTCCCCTTGGGAGTAAGTAGCAATAACTGCTGGGTTCTTTTGCTTAAGGAACCAATTACTATATCATATGTAGAAAACCTGAGTTGTTTCATCTGGGAATGGAAATACAAAAACTACTTTCTCAAGAATGTATCAGCATAGGATTATCATATTTATTAAACAGTGTAACTGATTTTTCTACTTTTAATTTACAGAGTAAAAATAACACATCAACTTAAATTCGTACACTTGTTCTGATAATGAGGATTGGGAGGACCCATCTACTTCAATGGCTTATTCTATTCCATAACCACAGCAAATCACATTTGCTTGCTGAGTGATTCATCAAATACACATTATGGGTGGTCCTGAAACAGGGGCTTCTGTACTCAAAACAAAAATACCCTACAAAACAAACACCAGCAGACACTAGTAACTACTGAACACTGCTCTAAGCAATTAGAGAGAAAGAGAATGAGATAGAGACGAAGAGAAGTACAAAAACAGCAAGTCCTAAATGTTTTACTTTTTACCTGTGGCACGAACTGAGTTTAGGATGGTCTCTCGGTATGCTATCTGCAGAGGACCTAGGTAGGTCTCCAGTCCATACTCCCTCTTGATTCGATCATGAATAATTTCAATATGTAATTCCCCCATACCACATAGGACAGTCTGGTTACAAGAGGAGGAAAAGAAAACAAAAATTAAGGAAAAATTGCATTTATTACAAAACACTATATACTGATGTTAATAATATATACTTAAGATACTTTTCATTTAAACAGTTTCTTTTGCAATTTTTGGAGGAAGGCCTCCAACATTGAAACACTGTTTTTTACTTTTCTGACTGAAATAATAAATCAATTGAAAAAAATTACCTGGCTATCCTCTCCGTCCATAATAACTGAATTATATGCTGGGAAAGTGGCATCTAGCTAGGACTATGCTTCCCAACCATATAGCTAATTTCTAGCAATGCAAGATGAGTATAATTGATATTGACAACTTCTGCCTGTAACGAAAATGTAGCCAACTGTCTTGACACATTTTGGGTAAGTGCTACAGCCTATAAAGGAACAGAATAGTGCTACAGCTTATAAGGGGAAGGAATAACCTTTTCTCAACCACATGGGCATTTTCCAATCATCTTGAGTGCCTTAGACTAGACTGAAAGTTTATAGGAGAAAAACTGTCATGTTTTTTGAACCAGTATTATTTTGGGTCCTTGTTAAACAGCCAAATCTGCTCAAAATCAATAGACGTGTATTTCTTTGTATTAATAATAGTTATACCTAAAGATGGCCTCTATGAGAAAGAACACAATGCAAGGTGCCTATATTTGATCCACCTATTCATATGCCACCTGTGAAACCAAGTGTTAACTTTACCCAAAGAGATTTGGACTTTGCTGTTAGCCACTGGGAAGTGATATCTAGGCCCTGGAATGTCCTGCCTGATAATTATAAAAGTATCTTTGTTTGCCTGGTCGCTTTGTCTAATAATGTGATTTATGATGTGAGCATGGAAGATGGCATTATTAGCTCTGAGAAACAGGAGACTAAAAGTATAAGCCTGAACCTATGGGAGAGGCTGAAGACTAAAGGTCAACCACACAGACAATATGTGATAACCCAACGAAAACTCTGGACACCAAAGGCTTGGGTGAACTTCTATAGTTAGCAATACACTTTGCCAGGAGACTGATATGTCCCTAAGGATAAAGGAAGCTTTGCAAATGTTTACAACCCTCCCAGACTTTGCCCTATGCGTCTCTTCTGTTGGATGATTCTAATTTATATCCTTTTGCTGTAATAAAACTGTATAAATTTAAAAACAAATAATCACTTGGCAAAGGATAGCTATACTTTAAAGTTGAGACGCGATCTGAGAAAAAGCAGGTTGTAGAATAATATAAACAAAATGACTTGTTAACATGTTATCTGTACATACAGATTTGGAAAAAACATGTTGTGCTGTGAAACACAGCACAGAAGAACAGATGTTTAGGGGGAACCATGAAAGGCTATTCAAGTTTTTACAGTGATTCCCTGTGCAGAATGGGATAGACAGAAAAGGGGTCTTTAATTCTTTATTTCGTACACTTGTGCATCATTTGCTATTAAAAAGAAAATGTAATGCCATTCTTAAAATAAAAATTACTTAAACAAAAATTTTCTGTTTTACTTACTACTATCATATCCTTCAGGATCAACTAAACTAAATTACTACTTCAATTGGCTGGCATTTTGGAAAAATAAAATACTCTATATTTCCAGATTAACTAAATTATTTTATCCTTTTAAAACTCAAATTTATAATCTTTTTAACAAATTATTTCTAAGTGGTACCCGTAGCTCAGTGGGTAGGGCACCGGCCACATACACTGAGGCTAGTGGGTTCAAACCCAGCCCCAGCCAGCTAAAACAACAATGACAACTACAACAACAACAACAAAAATAGCAGGGTACTGTGGCAGTCCCAGCTGCTTGGGAGGCTGAGGCAAGAGAATTGCTTAAGCCCTAGAGTTTGAGGTTGTTGTGAGCTGTGATGGCACAGCACTCAGCCCCAGGGCAACAGCTTAAGGCTTTGTCTCAAAAAACCCCCCCAAAACCAAAAAAACCCCCCTAAGGCTGCGCCTATAGCTCAAGGAGTAGTGTGCCTGCCCCATATACCGGAGGTGTTGGGTTCAAACCCAGCCCTAGCCAAAAAAAAAAAAAAACTATTTCTGAACGCTCATATAAACTTTACCCCACTCTCCTAAAAAAAGGATGCAGAATATAATTGAATCTTTTCTTGAATCAAGAACATTTGTTCTTCTACTATGCTATATTACACAGCACGATTCTGCACCTAGCCTCAAATGATCCCCCTGCTCTAGTTTCAGAGGTGCTGGGATTCCAGACATGAGCCAGGGCTGGCCAGCACCTATTTCAGAACTCTGTAATCTATCACTTCTCTCCTGCTAGTTTGGTGCAAAAGCGACTGTAGTTTTGAACTATACATTTTAAGTCATTGTAACTAGGCTCAATCAAACACATCTTCATTAATCAAAATAGGAACCATTATAATCAGGCATCCTCAAACTATAGCCCACGGGCCACATGCAGCCCACCTAGGACATTTATGCGGCCCACCAGGTGTTTTTGCCACCAATGCCTGTCCTGCTTAGCAGCCAACTCATCCTGGGGCCCGCAGTCTGGCCCTCCAACAGTCTGAGGGGCAGTGAACTAGCCCCCTGTTTAAAAAGTTTGAGGACCCCTGACTATAATCAACACATTGCTGCCAATGAGAAATAAGTTTGTTTCTTCTTGTAGCATAAAAATCAGTGTTTCTGGATTCAAGGAACTCTTGGGAACCATTTTCTGCATCCTGCTAATAATGCAAGTGTTTTCCCTGCAAAAAATTCTTGAGATGCTTGAAGAAGTGGTTGTCAGTTGGTAAGAAGTCAGGTAAACATGGTGGATGAGGCAAAACTTCGTGGCCCAATTCATACAACTTTTGAAGTGCTAATTGTACAACATGCGGTCAGGCACTGTCATGGAGAACTGGGCCCTTGCTGTTGACCAGTGCCAGCTGCAGGCATTGTGGTCTTCAGTGCATCTCATAGACTTGCTGAGCAGACTTCTCAGATGTGACGGTTTTGCTGGGATTCAGAAAGCTGTCATGGATCAGACAGAGAGCAGACCACCAAACAATGATCATGACCTTCTTTTGGTGGCAGTTTGGCTTTGGAAGTTCTTCAGAGGCTCTTCTTGGTCCAGTCACTGAGCAAGTCACCGCAGGTTACTGTATAAAATCCACTTTTCATCGTACAACTCAATCAGTTGGAGAAATGGCTCACGGTTGCATAAAGTAAGAGAAGACGAAATGACATCTGCTGGCTTGGCGCCTGAGCTCAAATGGCTACGGCGTCAGCCACATACATCAGAACTGGCGGGTTAGAATCCAGCCCTGGCTTGCCAAACAACAATGACAACTACAACCAAAAAATAGCCAAGCATTGTGGTGGGCACCTGTAGTCCCAGCTACTTAGGAGGCTGAGGCAAGAGGATCACTTAAACCCAAGAGTTTGAGGTTGCTGTGAGCTGTGACACTATAGCACTCTACCAGGGGCAACATGGTGAGACTGTCTCAAAAAAAAAAAAAGGCATCTGCTCTAATTTCTGATCAGCTCATGAGAGACCCACTTAGGAAGTTTCTTCCACCTTTGCAATTTGCTTCAAATACTGAACAACAGTAGAATGGTCAATGCTGAGTTTTTCAGCAACTTCTCACGTAGTTGTTAGAGGATCAGCTCTGATGACCGCTCTCACTTGGTCATTGTCAACTTCTAAGCTGCCCCATATGCCTCACCTTCACTGCTCTGGTCTCCTTTGCAAAACTTCCTGAACCACCACCGCACAGTATGTTCATCAGCAGCTCCTGGGCCAAATGTGTTGTTGACAGTGAGAGTTGTCCCTGCTGCTTTATGACCCATTTTGAACTCGAATAAGAAAAATCTTATATTTGCTTTTTGTCTTATATCATTTTATAGTCCAAAATAAATATAAGATAAACAGCAAGTAATAAGTCATTAGCAAAAAAAAAAAATGCAAGAAATATACACTAAGGTTATTTAAGAATGCATTCTAGTATCAAATGGCAAATTTCAACAATGCAAAAACTACAATTACTTTTGCACCAATCTGTTATTTTTGGTGGGCTACTGTCATTAAAAGCACTTTCCTCTAGTAATTCTTCTGTAAGTGTTAGCATAGGAGGCTCAAGGCTTTGTCTTGGGGTTGAAACTTAATTTCAGAATTTCATGAAAAGCTATCTTCAGGAAGATCAAAATGTTAGGGAGTAGTATATACAGGAAGTGTAATTATATTAGGGAAGTAAGAATTTGTTTATTGAGCTTGATAGTCAACGTAAAAACCATAAGTTTATGTTATGAGAAAATCAAAAAAGAAAACTTCTTTTGGGGCAAAGACAAATCAATGTTTTAGATACAGGCACATGTGTAGATACACACACACACACAAATACCATTATAGGATTCTTGGATTAAGTAATGATATACCTACTTGTCCAGAGTCAGGATCTATCTTCACTTTCAAACTGGGATCTTCACGCTGAAGGCATTTCAATGCCTGATCCAAATCTACGGGATAAATTCCATTATATTCCATTTTAAAATAACTTACTATATGCTGTAGTGGAGAAAACTGATGAACAAGCAAACAGATTTTGAGAAAGGAAATTTCAAGCAGCTACAAGTGCTGTAGAGAATAAAACAAGGTGATGTAACAATGATGGGAGTCTACTTATGACTGGGTGATCTGGAAAGGCCTCTCCAGGATGATTTTCCTGCAGCCTTGGGGCCACATGTGGCCTTCTGGATCTTTTAGTGCAGCCTTCTGACTGAATCCAAATTTTATAGAACAAATCCCTTTAATGAAAGTTATCTGTTCTGGCTCAGAGCCCATAGCTCAGTAAGGCACTGGCCACATCCACTGAAGCTGGTGGGTTTGAGCCCATCCCGGGCCTGCTAAAATAACACTGGCAACTGTAACCAAAAAATAGCTAGGCGTTGTGGTGGGTACCTGTAGTCCCAGCTACTAGGGAGGCTGAGGCAAGAAAATCTCTTAAGCCCTTAAGAGTTTGAGGTTGCTGTGAGCTGTGATATCATTGCCCTCTACTGAGGGCGA